TCAGTGGGAAATAAAGAGTCTATTCAAAAACAGCTGGAGAAAAGTGCAGAGTGTAAAAGAACTGGAGCAACAACATGAACACTCAGAAAAATAAAAGTATTGTTTTATGGTAGGTGTAGTAATAACAGTGAAGTGGTTGTTTAATATTTTAAGGTTTTTTAGCACTGAACTTGGACAGGTTCTTGTATTTCTAAAAGCAGCTGAAATAGAAGAGAACGTTGATTTTGTTTTTGTCTCTCTGATTCATGCCACCAAGTTAAAGAGTATTTTATTTCTCATGATGACCTGGTTAAGTTTTATTTACAGACCAAAAAAACATCCTGTCGAACAGGCGTGATTACACACATCTGCTGAGATCTTCAGGCATATGGAATTCCTATAGGTCACTGATTCTCTCTTCATTGGAAGTGAGGGCTTCATTTATACATATTATTTTAGAGTTGAAATGTACACCAGTGTACCTTTTATCCCAGCAGTTTGAGCTCAACTGCTGTGAATTCTTGTGTGGAGGCGAATTTCCCTAATCCTTCCATGAGCAGAGATGTGGTTAGCTATGTTAATCTGAAGTCAGGCAGAAAGTAGGGCATGGCAATACCTTAGAGATTAGTTGGTTCAAAGAAGCATGAGCTTCCGTAGGCAACAACCTATTGCATCATATTTTATGAATGGACTGTCAACTCGAGGCCTGTGGGCCGCATGCGTTCCTAGGGGAGTTAATCTGGAACCCAGGGCTCCTAGTCTAGGTGCCACTCTCCTGTTGCTGTCACCAGGGTTCCTGGGGTCCCCCTCCCTCTTCCTTCTCCAGCTTGCTTTCCCTGCCCTTGCCCTGGGGGTGGAGCACCCCACAGGGCTAGGGACTGCATGACTGGGTGTCTTAGGGATCTGAGCAGTCTGGGGTACTGGCATGGCGCAGCAAGGGGGGAAGTTCATGTGGTATGGCATGGTGGTACTGGTACAGTGCAATGGGGTGGCACAACTGAGGTGCAGCATGGCCTGTGGGCTGTGTAGTATGCACCCCTGCAGTGTGTGGCTTGGGCCACTCAAGTTGAACGCCCCCAGATTGCACAATGGAAGGGTTTAAAATAGAAAGGAAAGGGATAGAGGGAGAGGACACTGTTGAGAGAGGCAAACAAGTGCATAGATTAGAGAACTAGGAATAAATATCTTGAGGGATATTGGAGTTAACAGCTGCAGGTAACAACTAGTCTAGGTAATGGAATAAGAATCCATAGGCTTTGCTGAGACCATGTGTAACACAATCCAGTCTCTGGGCCTGGGGACAGAAATTACACAGAAACCGGTATAAATGATTGGAAACTGGTTCAAATCTGTAACAAAACTGAAGTTCAGTGCACATAAACCGCTCCCAAAATGGCCCAAACCAGTTTAAGGTAAACAGGGATGGATGTTGTATCAGACTTAAATGATTTAGGTTAAATCAGTTTATTGAACTTTTGTCCCAGATCACCTCCAGATTCAAGTAAATTCACAGTCCCCCGGTATCCCAGCATGCTTTGCACTTCCTCTGAAAACTGGCCCCCCTCCCCCCCACCTTAGAGCTTGGGTGGGGTAACCTTGGCCCAGGCTGTCTGCTCCAGTCAAGCAGGGAGGCATGCTCTAGCACCCCGCCATTTTCTGGTCTGGGCCACTGCAGGCATGTGGCTGTATTTCTGGAATCAAAGGTGAATGTCTGTTCACTTGCTTATGAGTTCAATCTATTCAGTTTAGATTAACCTGAAAAGACTGAATTGATTCAGCCTTGGGCTTTTTGACTGTCTGTACTTAGCCTGGATGTCTTGCTCTGCAATTTTACTTTCAAGTTGGTTTTTAAAGTTTTATTGTTTAAGGTGAGGTCAGTGTTGGAATGTGCAGGGAGGTTAGTGTTCTTTCATTTTAAAGTGTTCTGCGATGGGCTTTTGTCTGTTTTTGCAGATAAAAAATCATTCCTTATACTTCATCATTACAAAACATTGTATCTGTGCTGGGATAATGAGCCCTTTTTTCCCCTTTTCCTCCAGAAGAGTATATGTTCCTGCCTGGCTGAGTTTGATGAGAGAATGACTGGTGAGCTCTGAGTTCATATTCTTTAGTTTAAACAGTCACCATTTCAGAATGTTGATTGATATATACTAGTTGATTTATTTCATAAAAGAGGATCTTTTTCCAAAAGAAAAAAAATAGTTTAAAAGGCTTGTTTGGAATATTTGTATATTATAAGTGAGGGTTTTTAAAACAACATTTCCCATTTGGATATCCAGAGCTGAGCTCCGGTAATGTCATAGTTGAGAGATGCTTTTGTTAGTTAGTAATTCATTTTAGGTTACTTCATTTTAGGCTCTCTCATTCATATTGTGATAAATGGAAAATAATAAAGCCTTATAGATGTTTTCTGCAGTGCTTTTTTTTTTTTAGGCATGGTTTCCTATGCAAAGATTATTTTTGATCAACTGTTTTGGGTATTTTTGTTCTCTGGGGGAAAAATATAGATAACTAGCTGTTGATTTTTAAAGTATGGAAAAAGCACGCATCTTAGGATATCATCTATTATTTTAGTTGCTCTTATTAGCTCTTAGTGTCTAAAAGGACAATATGGCTTAACTTATAGCTCAAAGAACATTTACAAGGTTTTCCACTATTTAAAACCTGACTCCTATTTGTATTGGGGCATACACTCATGAATATCGTTTGCAGGTTATTACATTTTTCCAAGTTTCATCAGATTGGGTTCAAATCCATGACCTTCTCAATGATTCCATGAGCCAAACTGGGGCATGGAGTTAATTAAATTGGAAATGGCAAATGGTTCTAAATATATCCACTAGCTTATTAGGCACTACGTTAGCATGGCAGAACAGTATAATGACTCAGATCAGAATGATTACATGTGTTACTGGAAATATCCTTTTTGTTACTGTTCTACTGAGGGACAGTTTCAGATCTCAGTCATGAATGCGGGAACTTCTCATTTCCAGGAGCAGAGCCAGAATATGAGAGGAGGATTTAGTCCTAATCATTCTGCTGATTTTGTCGCAAGGCCTGGAGTGTGTTTGTTTGTTCCATTTAGAACTTGTACTGCAAATCTTATTATAAATAATCTGCATATTATATGCGTTGTACACAGTTGGTAGAATCTACCATGGCAAATTCTCCAGTTTAGACACCATGGTTTTAGCCATGAATGAAACTAGTTTGTGGCACAGAACAATACGTAACACAGTTTCCCCAAAAGAGACATTTCAGAGCCTCCCCTAATCTCTCTCTTAGATATATATTCTGAACCATCTCTGTTGCTTTTCTTAAACTGATTATTAGAGTGGCATAATTACTGGCACTGCAGTACAATTGTTTGACTTGTGGGTGGTAAACAGAATAACTTTAAACTGTTTTTATTCCTATATATTCCTCTGTATTGGTTACTCACCAAACTTTATGTTAATTATGTGTTTGCCACATTAAGGGAAGCTTTTTATGAATATGGGCCAAGTCACCTTTTTGAGTTACCTTTCTGGTTTCTTATTGTAATGGCCTTTGATTCAGGTTCCTTGTAAGTTTTTGTTACATCTTCACTCCTATTGTATCACTGAAGACTCTTTTTAGAATGATTTTTTATTTATTTATTACTATATTTTCATGTTGTCTAAATGCAGACAGCCACATCCATCCCCAGTATAGCTCTCTTGAAGGTAATGCTTGGATCAAAGTGTGTCCTTTTAAACTGACTCTAACTAAATGTTAACTGAAGGATCTCTTGACTTCTCATGTTTGATGTTACTTACTATAGGATGTTTTATTTGTGGTACATTAAGCTGTTTCAGATGCTGATGACATTCAAGATTAGTTGTGAACAAAAAGCAGAACACAATGGCTAGTAAAGTCAACCACAGCCATACAGTCTTCATAGTTTTAAGTCTGTACTGTGAGTACAGAGGCTCAAATTGTGTTTTGAAAGAAGGTAGTACTTTTAAAGTTAAGTAGTAACTAGCAAAACATTATAGGCATTATCAGTTTTCAGTGCTGTTTCTTTATAGCACTCAAAATAACAGTGGGACAGACTATTCCACCCTGTACACACCTTTAGGGCTCTAAAAAGAATTACATTCTCTCTTGGTGTCCTTTTCCTTTCCTACTTTGTTTCTTCTCTTTCTATCCTTCTCTTTGCCTTTTGTTCATCAGGGCCTGGCTTAGCTAGCCAAAATAGTCTCTGTTCCAACACTGCTGTTAGTCTGTGACTGAAAAGGCAGCTAGAAGTATTACGTGAAACAGCTCAACTTTCTAAAGTCTTGGTGTACCTGAAAAGACCTTTTCATGATCCTGTGTTTCTGCAAGTCAGAGTTACTGTAGACAAAAGCTGTGTTTTTTTTCTTTGCTGTTCCTTTCTTGCTCTCCTTTTGTGTACATCTGGGTTTGTTTTGGAGAAAGCAAAATTCTGACTATCAAAACCAGCTCCAGCTCATCTCAGCGAGTTTTTTTTTCTCTTTTCCCTAAGAAGGGCATCTTTTATACTGTGTACACAATATCAGACCAGGAGTTTGGTTGTAGGAAAATGATGTAAGCAACATGGTTACAATAAAAGCTGTTCTTAATTCAAAATCCTTCGCTGCTTTTCTTTCTTTTTCTGTATCTTAAAAAATCTTTCAAATCTTTCATTAATACTGATTGTTGCCATGGGTTTAAGCACAGTGAGGTTTTTCATGCTTAAAACCCCAACCACATTTAATTGTTGAATGTCATACAACAGGGTCAGGGTCATGTTAACTCCTTTGACACACTGAGCTCATTTATTCCATCAAAATTAGCACAACACCTATCAAGAAACATCAAGTTAAAACATATCTAGAGCATTAGTTGTGAGTTCTTTAAACATTTACTTAAACTTTAATATATTAAAATACAAAATAGGAATAAATTACAATTCACAATTTCTTACATCATTTTATTAAGAACAAATTATTTGTATAGACTAGATCTATATAAATAAATCACAGTACATTTTACTGGTGTTTAGAAGAATGTTATACTTTTTTTATAAAATTAAGAAATTTAAATGCATTTATTTTATCCCTCAACCATTACTGCAAAAGAATCATGCATTACCTCTACTGAACAAAGATAAAGTCCACCTAACGGAGAGAGTTTGGATAAAGATGTGACTCTACTCTCCAAAATTAGACATGAAACACAGATATACCAGGACTACTCATTGAACAAGAAAGAGTAAAGTATAATACAATGTTCATGTGTAGTAAAATCAAAGTTATATCAAAACAACACAGTTCTCTTTATACACCTTTGCAATGAGTGTTAAAAAAGAAAAGAATGACAACTGTCCAGCATGCAGCTGAAAAAAAAATTCCAGTTTTAGGGATGCCTAAGTTTGGCCAAAGGATAAGAGGAACTGAAAAAAACAGAAAAATGGAAAACGAACAACCTGGATGCTTCCAGTCCCCTCTGTGTTCTTCCCGTCTGTGCCAGGGCTGTTACACTTAGTAGCTGGGATGGGTATTCCTGAAGTTATCCTTCCTGAGTGAGGTCCATCACTGCCATCTGGATTTGTACATTTCACGTGCCTTCAAGGAGAGGGAGGTCCTTTCAGAGAATTGCAGGACCCTGGAGTGCTTCCAACTGTAGTTCCTTGCCCAACCCACTGTATTAGAAATTACCTTTTAATTCAGTTCTTGTAGCTATTCAGCACTGAATGCACAGTTCCAATTAAAGTATAATTCACATTTGCACAGCTTGGTTCACATGCTGTAAGGCTTGTCACTTCAGAACAGAATTATGGTGCAAGCAAGAACCTTCGTTTGTTACAGCAGGAATCAAGGTGAAGCAGACTCTCTCTAAGCATCTGTTACAAAAGCTGCTCCGGTGCTGTTTTTTTCCAGCACAAGTGCTTTTTATCAAATTCTACTGTTTTACAGATTGCTTTTGCTATATATATTTTCTTATAAATAACAATGCCACTGTTTTCCCATTTGATTCTGAGGTGTAGTCATTTTACAATGCATTGTGCTAAACAGAAGGAAAGACCATTTAATTGAGGACATTTCAGGTTGTCTCTGCCGAATTTAAGGTTTAAAAAAAAATTTTCCGCCCTAGTTGAAATGTGTGTATAAACAATACCTGAAATTACACTCTTCTATTTTTAAGTAGGTCAAACAAAATATATTTTTAAAAGATTCCCCTTTTCTGTCAGCTGATTCTTTAAGCTTAAGAGTTTCCTGTAGTTTTTGCTTTTTATGGCAAAATGATTCCATTAATATGTTAATACTGCCAAGTGACATAAGTGTGAAATACATCTATAATACCTCTTGGTTTGTGTGACTTCAGTGATAATACAGTGATAGGTAATATTGAATTTTAAAATGTCTTCTAAATTCCCTTGAAGATATCTGGTCTTTTATCAGTGTTACCCACAAAACAAAAAGGCTGAAAATTAACCCTCATTTCCTGTGCCCTAGGTCTCTGTTACCGTGTATTTAGCTCACATTTGAGCTGTTATCTTTTATTGCCTCCAACCTCCACTAAAACCAATCAAACTCCTTCTAACTTTGTAAGTGAGAATGAGTTCAGATCAGTGTATAGTAGGCTGTCATTACCTCTTTCATGATTGCTGCTTAGATGAGCTGTAAAAGAATGCTGAAATGCATATGGACTGGTAATATATTTATCATCAGCTTGAGATGTGTGTCTTCTGTTTCTCCCCTGGAAGCACCAGAGGGCCCTGGATATGAAGGTTTATGTGCATCTGTCTGTTCAAAGCCCAAATTTAAGTTTTATTTAAAAAAAAAAAGTTTTTTATAAAACCAAATAATAACCAGATGTTTTTTAAAAAGTATTTTAACATTCTCCTGCAGCAGTGATGAGCTATCAGTATTTTATCAATGGATTTCCACAATTTTCTACCTAGCCTGCAACAGCCTCAGTCTGAAGGAACTCAGATACTTATTTGTCTTCCACTTTAAACAATTGTGCTTTATAGTAGGAAAATGAAGCAGTGGGTAAAATCTTGGTCCTATTGAACTCGATGGCAAAACCTGAATTAGCTTTTGCCCATTGGCTCTTAGTAAATGCACTTATATTAAATGTATATAGTAGATGTTTTGCTTTGTTTCAGAAAACAATATTGACTAAATAGGTAGCACAGTACAGGGTTCAGCATAACCTCAAGCAGTGGTAATGTGAAAAAAATTGTGGGAATATATCTATAGATGGTTTCCCCTGTTGACAAAATGTTTTTGGATATTACTGCACCTGCTGTTGGGGAAGTCTGACTCAGAAAGGGAAGGGGGGCTGCAGTAGGGTCAAAGGTAGCCCATCCCAAGTCTCCTGTTAGTTTTATAGTAGAATATAGCAGTGGTTGCTCTCCATTCCTGCCACTGTAATGCTACCCTGTGGTATCAGAAAACCACTGTAGCATTGGGCTAGTGTGGAATATGAAATTGCCTAGCCTAGTGAATCTAACTGTCTAAGCTCAGTGAAGTACAAAGGTAGACAGAACATATAAACCTGGAAAGAAAGTTAACCATGTCCAGAAGAGTTGGGTGGTTGTGTTAACCTATCTTGGGCATTTAAAATATATATATACAGTACTGCCATCCCCAAAGGCTCACAATTCAAATACCAAGTGGAAGATTATTAAAAAAAATCATATATGTTGGGTTCTTTTTCTTCATCTTCTGAGTCCTGAGCTTTTATGGTACACTGGGGTCATATATTGTCTTTAAATTTAAGTTTCTTCTTTAATAAAGCTGAGATTCTTATTCAGTCTGTTGATACCAGCAACCAGGGTCTTAAGTAAACACCAACCATTGTGAGACTGGCAGTAAAATTGCAAAATTAGGTAGCATTGAATATATGACATTTATGTTGACACTGCCCCTATAAAATGCTGGCGGTGAAGGAGTTCTGTGAAGACTCCTACATCCATCGAAAGAGGGACAACCTGCATCACAAGCATCCCTTTCCACTGCTGCATCCCTTTCCACTGCTGTAACTAATCCTGGCATTGCACTGGGAACAGTAGTTAAATTAGAAAATAATGCAGGCATCTACTTTGCATTCCAAGACGGGACACATAAACTGATTGTCCAGGAAATTAAAGGAGTTCTCCTTAATAGACAAATCTTGTACTCCTAACTTAGGTGAGACTTCTCCTACTGATCTTTATTAAATGCTTGAAATTAAACTGACCTGGAAGGATTTGAGGCAGGAAGTTGCATTAACAATTGAACCTTTAGTGAAAGGTTATTTTAGTCCAGTGGTTCTTGTTCTATGTTGTATGTGTCCTGGCCTGCATCTGGCAGGTACTGTGATCACTTTTTAAATGTCCGGTATTAGTCATCAGTTGCCACATAGTTTCATCTAATTAAGATCTCCCCCATTTCATCTAATTAAGATCCCCCCCCAATTATTTTTTGTGCATATCAGAGAGAGTTTTTTTATACACAGTATGTCTTAGAAAATTATTTTCATACTACACAACACGGTGTGTCAGCGTATTAAGGAGAGAGAACGTTTATACAGCATAGCCATCTGTGGTATGCTTGTCCCTTTTTAGTGTTACGTATTTAATTAAGAAACAGCTGTTGGAAATTCATCTGCAAAGAGTAATGAGGTTTTACAATTTACATAATACTCAAACCATTCCATTTTTATACAACTTTCTGAAAGATTATACTGTCACCTAAGATTGACAGATGCATTTTATTCTCACCTAATCAAGAGTAGCTTATTCTAATTTTCTTAGATGTTAATGACCTTTAGGCAGGAACCATGTTAGCCCTGAAGAGAGAAGAAGAGACACCAGTCCTGACTGGGGCTTGTAGCCATGACAGTACCATAAATGTTGGATGATCTAATTCTTAAATAAATTGATTTGTAAGTATATCCATTATAATTTTCTCTCTTTCTCTAGAAACTTATTGACTATAAGAATCAGGTTGGTTGCTACACTTCACTAGAAGTGCCCCATGCTTGGTGGTTTCCAGAGTTATGATATTAATTGTTACAACCAAGCTACCTCCATGATCCCATGAAAGAGGCACGAAAATGGCTTGCCTTCTAAATCTGAGCAATCCTCATGACCATACAAGTAATTCATAGGGAACAACAGAGGCCAACCAGGGTTTACTTTTACAAGTGGATAACAGACTAGTTAAGCAATTGACTCTTCACATTGTTGAAAACTGAGGGTTCTATTCAGCAAATATTCAGTATCCTAGGGCACTAGCCACAGAGGCTACATAAGTTTCAACAGCTCGGCAATCAGTGGGTGTAATCCTGATTCAAGGACCAAAATTATGATGGTATATGTACGTATATCTCATCATATCTTGGACGCACTTGATTCCTGAGAATTACAGAAACCTGCATTTTATTAATCCAGATACATGTAAAATGACCCATATTAATGACTCAGATGAACATGTACTGAGAGAATAGTGATGTCTATAGAAAGGGTAGGCATGTCAGACTCTAATTTCAATACCAGTGCAGCCCATCATGCTCAATAGGGAAACTCAAGCTGTATATAATAGCCTGGACAACCTCTGCTAATAGACATTTTCCAGGCTCTGGGTTATTGTGGGTCACCTCTTTTATCAAGTCACTACAATCATTACTTGTCTACAGTTAAGAGTTAGGTGATCTGTTTTCAACCCCCAATCAGAACAAAGCATTATTTTGTTCTTGCCTCTTCTGAAAAGGTATACAAAGCTGAAAAGGTATAAAATGCCACTGATAACAAGGAATAAGGCTTTAACCAGTTTTCATCTTCTCAATGAGGATACAATTTTGTGTGCTCAACATTGCTTGGACTTATTCATGGGGTGATAGGTCTTGAACAGGCATTTATTTCTAGCAGTGGAACATTCTGAGAAATTTCCACCACTAGAAATCTTTCAGGGAGAGGAAGCAGTATAAGCATTTATCCTGCACCTGTCCCTTCTTCCCTGCTCTCCATGCCTTCCCCAGATCAGGGTGATTCTAATCTGGAGAAATTACGGGGAACAGTGGCAACTCTACTTCTCCTGGTGCAGACAAAACTTCCCTGCATGCCCAGCTTCACATTGCTGCCACTGCTACTCAGCAAGGTAGTGAAGGGGCTGCAATTTAACATGTCATGTGAGGGGTAAGGAGCTCCCTAAACATAGGATGTTAAAATCTGTCACTAGATGGCTTTTAAACTGCTGCCTCTGCCCAACTGGTGGCAGGAACGGCAACATGAAGCCAAGGACATGGGGAAGTAGGCTCAGGGAAACTCTCCCCAAGCTCATTTCCTGCCACAATCTGCTTTTAAATCACTGCTCCCATTATGATGCCATGGGTACAGGGAAGCAAGCTCAGGGGGTCCCTCAGCTTCACAATGCTGCCTAGCTGGGTGGCAGGGCTGGTAAATTCAAAGCCAGCAGAGCCAGAACTGTGCTTGGGGATAGCCTCTTAAGCAAAGGCAAGTGGTAGCAGAGGTCCAGAGGGGCATGTGCCCCTCCTGAGATTGGCTCCTGACTTGGCACTGCTCAGGACAGGGCAGTTTTTTTGCCGTGTGGGCCGGTGGTGTGTGTGTGTGTGTGGGGGGGGGGGGCACGGGGACTAAGCTGTGGCACAGAAGTTTAGGAGTGGATATGGACTTTTGGCCCATCCCCAGGCCCTCCACTGGACCCACCAGCAAATTGTGTCCCCACCCAGACTCAGGAGGCACCAGTTACCCCTGCTCTTAAGCCTGGTTCCCACCCATTTTGCAGTCCTGTCATCCAGCTGGCAGTTCCTTGTTAGGGGAAGACCAGGATCCCTACTGTTGCTGCTCCTCCCCCATTCCCAACCAGTCCAGGAAGGGAGGGGAGCAGCAAGGCAAAGTCCCCAGCCTATTCCCCAAACCATACAGTTCATGGTTTGGGGAAGAGGCAAGGAGGGTATGCCTGCCCCTCCTTCTTGGATCCAGACTGGGAGGGAACCATACAAGCATTCACTCTTGCAAGGGAGTTCCTCTTGCAAGGGAAATCTACCATGTTGACACCTGGAAAACCTTTCTTCTGGAAGGTGCATGTTTCTCCCAGTAGATATTGAATGAATACTTGCAATTTATATCAGGAAAGTGACAATTCTCCTCTTAGAAATGTAATGCCTATACATAGCTATGATCTCCTACACCTTTGCAAAGCTTATATAAGGGTGCCACAGACATATTGGCACCATCCATGTTCTAAAAAGGCCCTGTTGAGTTCTACAGGCAAGACAAAGTCAGTGAACACTTTGAGGTCCCTATCTTGAAGACTGTGCTGCAGTAGTTCTAAGGTAGTCTTTTAAGCAGTACTAATTGTGACCAGTCCTGGAGATGTGCCATTTCCAGAGCCCCCAGTAGTTGCCAATTAGCTACTGAAACTTATATTTGACATCTGCACCCAAGCAAAATGCCAATCGTATATAAGTAGAGTTTCATTCTAGTACATACAATGTGCCCAATAATCATATTTCTGCAAAACTCACAGGCATTACAGGTTAGGTCAGAGTTAATAATATCAGCAAGATGATGCTTCCTAGCATTCTGCACTGAGAGCTATTATGAGAGGTGCTAAACCATATTTATAAGTGCGAACCTTTACAAATTAGTGTGACCAGATTAACCTTCTGAATTTAGGTGCTGCATCTTACATTAAAAGTAATTCATAGGTAGCAGCAGAGTGTTATCATGGATTACATTAGATCTGCCTAAGTAAGAAGTAAACTATTGTAATGTTCAGAAATCAAGATATGACTATGTCATGAATGTTTGCATCTCCTGAATCAGGATTAGTATTCCTTAGCAAGTGAAGAGAGCAAGGGTAAGATAGAGGGGTTAAAAGGATATTTTTACCCCTTTGGACTCTCTGCAGAATGCCCCTGAGGAAATGCCTAATAGTTCAACAAGAATGCCAAATTTCTGCTGAATAGGTTAAAAGGGTGAGGAAGCCTCTTCGGCAGCCATCCATGCGTAGAAGGCCTGCATAACATTTCTGCTGAATAGGGCCCTAAATGAAGACAAAAGAAACATAGGAAGCCAACTGTAACTTGAAAAGCTTTTCTGTTTGTGTGGTTTCTTCTAATTGCATTTTTTTCTATTCCAAGGCTGATTTCATTTTCAACACAATTAGGCATCAGTTTGGGTGTGCCAGTGGAATAGAAATAAAATATTACAAGACAACAATCCATATTTGTAATAACAGCCTAACTTTCCATTTAATTGTACCTTAGCAGATCTAAACAGATGCATATTGTTTACTATTGAAAATGACCTCGTTTGTAATGTTATAAAAACAGTGCTACGTAGAAGACTTGGCTTTTAATTTTGCATTTATAAAAAAAAAGTTTGAAATATTTTACATCCCACTGGAAATGAAAGGAACTGGTTTCATGCCATTTTAAATATAGGGGCTTCACAGCCTTCTCTGGGTTTAGTCTACGTACCTGGATCCTACTTATTTAACTCACAAGAATTTGTTCAACTTTTAGTTTCACATTAATGAGCTTTTACAATTACAGCAAAGATGGATGCTTAGGAAATTGCAATCTTACCTCTGCAAGCGGATGCCAGTGAGCAATGGGTTTCCGAGGATACGAGAGCATTTCGTTCCAATGGTCTCGCCCTAGGCTTTCTGCATCGTTGCCTACTTGACACACTCCGATGACCTCATTGTGACCTACACTGTGAAAATGTTCCATAATATTTTTTTCTTAAAATTTTACACTTGGAACAATATAATTTAAATTCTCTACAACAGACAATAATCAACGGTGGGAAGAATTAACTCCTCTGGAAAATGTAGAGCTATACTAGCGGAGGTCAAACTTTTTGACAGGTATGCCACAAATTATCCCTTCAGCCTTCCCAAGTGCCACTGTGATCCTCTTCCTCTGCCTGATCTACTGCTTTGCTTTTTGCTATCTGCCTTCTGTTGCCTGCTCTGCTTTCTTCCCTATCTGTTGCTGTGCTGTCCACTCCCTGATCTGCTGCATGCCACACACAAAGGCTGCCCACGCTACTTGTGGCATATGTGCTGCAGGCTGGCTACCCCTGAACTATACAATACATAAGTTTGAGATCCATCCACATCTTCACAGGTAACCTACATAATAATCATTTCCTTTTTTATGGTCCTTTGTTTCTGTAGATTTTCTATGAAGTAAATTGATACTTGGACTCCTATTTGCCTACATTCCACTTCTAATGAATAGAGAAGTTCAGTAGTATTTGAAAAAAATAAGATAACTACTAATCATTCTTGCTCTGAATCCAGCCCATAGTTAGATAAGACTATTCTGATACCTAAGATATCTGAAGAAATAGGACATCTTTTCAAAGGCACTTATTTGCAAGTAAAGTATATTATATGCCACACTTGCAAAAACGCTTTTATGCTTCTGAGGAAATAATATTTAGTCCATAAAGGGCCATTCAGAATGTTAATGTTCTATTTGAATATTTGTGATATTCTTGAATATAATCTTAATATTTATGCAAATTAGTCATACAGTAGATGGATACTATTCTGGATCTCAAAAACTAAGGAAGAAATGCTGTCTCACAGTACTAAGAATTGCATTCATTTGCTGAAGCCTGCATGGCAATACATTTTCATTTCCCAGAAATGTAGAGAAAACTATGGCAACTTGTGTCATTATTTTATAATCTGCTGGTTTATAAATTCTTGCATCATAGACTTGTATCCAATAATAGCTACAGTCATCTCACCGGTCATAATCCATAACAGCTATCGACAAGTTAATTTGGTCAATGTTTTCCGGAGGGACATCAAAGACTATGGCTTCATTGTAAACAGGATTAAGTGTATTCCTCTTAGTGGAAGTTTTCCTCTTCTTTAGTCGCCTTCCTTCACACATTAAAGAAACCTTCACATAAGGATCTATATGAATCATAATAAGATGTTGGTTGATTTTAAAAAAATAAAAACACAAATGCAAAGCAAAAAGAGTAACCTTATACATGCAAAGTTTATTTACATGTACCTAAATGGAATCTTAATGCCTTATTAATGAAATGCCTGGGAGGCACTCACAGTTTAAAAGGTTTTTGTTGGTTGAATGCTTATAACGAACAATTAACATGTTTGTTCAGGAAGCTGTTTCTTCCATACTGTCTTCTCAAAGAGCATGAAATTTCCACTAACTTACAATATGTATCCCTGTGTTCATAAGAGCTTGTGCAGCTGATTACGTTTACAGCTTTTGTAGAATCCTGACACAATAAGAATATTAGTGGCAGTAGTAGTGTTCACTGGTATTTGGTTAGTTATATTAAGCTGTAAACAGAGGTTGACTACTTTGTAATGCCATAAAACTGTTTATGGTACAAAACCCAAGTGAACAGGCATCTTTACCCTTTGCTGCACCACAACTACCTACATTTTGTGAAAGTGACAATGCTACTCATAATTTATGTCACTTTATTGCAGTCAGTGTCTATTCACTTACATCTGTGGCTGCCCACATTCTCCAGTCACTTGGGCAAGAGTTCTCAGGGCTTCACAGGACAGGTCCTGTGAAGCAATGGCCCTGGATATCTCACCCTAACATGGGGCACGTGCCTTCAAGCGGAGGTTCCCTGGTTGCAGATGTGTCCCCCAACCTCGGTCTGGGCAGCAAGAAATGCATGATGAGGGAATCCCTATGTAAGGAATTCCTGTGACATATGTCTGTAAGTGAGGAGGGGTAGGGACCTACCAAAATCATGGCAGAAGTGCACTGTACAGCAGCTCCTTTAATCTTGCTCATTTTGCTGCATGTTCTCCCCCCACCAATGACTGGTGGAGGAACCCCAGCAGCCTTACCGCTTGCTACTGATCAGCCAGGAGGAAAAAAAATGCAGTTTTAAATATGCCATGCTTTTTGCCTCCTGGTCAATCACCAGCGAGTGGTGGGGGCACTGGGGCCCCTCCAATCAGGCGGGGGAGACACTCGGCAAAACAAGATTAAAGGATCTGCTGCTCGGGGCTGGACTTCAGGGTTGCTTCCAGCCCGAATGTCTATGGAATCTATGCTCAGTGGACTTCTGCCACAATTTTGGTAAGTCTTTAGAGGAGGGGGGAACTCACATAAGGGTTCCCCAGTCTGTACCTGCAGACTACGATGCAACCTAGGAGTGGTCTGCAAGCACGGAAAGGAAACTGCTACAGGAGTTCCCCCCCTCTGTGCTTGTAATCATGCAGATTTCCCAGTGCACATTTATCACTGTGGCACCCTGCACAGTCTGCAAACACAGAAGGAAGGACCCGTTTGGGTCTCAGTGTACACCATAGTTAACAGTGCAGTCTGTGGATGATTTATTTTTTCCGCAATTTCCTCTTCAGACTTGTTTTTAATGTTTTGTTCTCTAGGAACAGCCACTCTGTAGTCTGTGGTGGAATTTTCAGGAAGGTTAAAATATTCTGCCATGGATTTGTCTGTCTTTTTGGCATTAATGTGAGATGGGTGTTCATTCATTCTTCCATGTAGGGATTGTCCCATCTGTCTAATGTAGATAGCAGAGGAGCACTGTAAGCAGGTGTTGGCATATATGACATTGGTAGAAAAGCAAGTAAATGAACCTGGGATGTTATAATCTGTGTTGTTTGGTCTAGTGATTATGTGCTTTGTGTTGATGAGGGGGAACAGCTAGCATCTGAGTCTGGAGCAAGGTCCGGTGACTTGGTGAAAGAATGGTTAGGTGGTCTGATGCTGTAGAGAGACAGTTTTCAGGCTGTAAGCCAAGACAGATTTGTCCTCCCTGGCTACTAGGAGATGGTCATCCTTTTCCAGGAGCAGTTGGAGGTCATTAAGGATGTGTCTGAGATGCCCAAGCTAGGGGCTGCAGGTGACAACCAAAGGGATTCTCTTGTTCTTGTCTCAGGGTTGGTCTTGTAGGAGCTTGGAGCAGGGTCTGAGTCTGGCTATTTTGATTTGAGTGGCTACAGTTTTAGGATTGTAATGTAATTGTAGGGATCTTTGCTGCATATCATTAAGGTATGCATCACAGTCAGTGGAATCAGAGCAGATCTGGTTGTAATGTGGAGCTTGGCTGTAGACTGGGGGTGAGCAATTATTCTGGCTGGAGGGCCAACCATTAATGAGTTCTGGGGACTTGTTGAGGGCCACATCCATCTCTCTCTCTGTTTCTCTCTTCTCTTCTTTTTCTGTCCTCTCTTTCTTTCTCTCTTTCTCTTTCTCTCTCCCCTCCTCTCCTCTTCTGGTCGGAGCTCTAGTTTGCCAGGAGCCCCGATGCTCAGCTGTGGACCCAGGCAGGATCTTCTGCCACAGCTGCAGTGGCATCAGCTATGGGTGCAGCCAGCAGGTTTTAAAGCCCAGACATATAACCTACCGGCAGTTTTCACAGCTGCTACTGCTGCCTACCTGGCATGGTAGAAGCTCCTGCATGATGCTGGAGCTTCACAGCTGATGCTGCCAGCAACTTCCAGGTCAGGGCTCTGGAAAGGAACTTTCACCACATCGGGAAGGCAGTGACATGAGCTGTGGAAGCTGATGGCAGGTTCTGCATCCAGGCTTCTGAACCTGCCGCAGGGCCACAGCTGATGCTGCCACCTTCCCAGTGTAGTGGAAGTTTTCACCCAGGGCCCAGACCTGCAACCTGCTGGCAGCATCAGCTGTGGACCCAGGCAGGAGCTTCTGCCATGCCAGACAGGTGGCAGCACCAGCTGTGACACTGCCTGTGGGTTCCACATCAGGGCTCTGGAATCTGCTGGCTCCACCCACAGCTGACACCGCTGCCTGCCTGCTGAGACAGAAGCTCCACCTGAGTCCAGAGCTAATGCCACTGCATCAAGGGCTGATGCTGCTGGGCAGAAGCAGTCCCACCTGCCTGTTTGGCACTATGTGGTGGCTGGAGCCATCAGCTGCCATGGGCCAGATCCAGCGAGTTGGCTGCGATCTACCTATGGGCCAGACTGAATTTGAATCTGTTGGCAGGCTGGGATTGGCCTGCGGGCCATATTTTGCCCACCCCTACAACATATAATGGAACAAGTGGTGGGCTTAACATAAGACCTACTGGTGTAGAGCTAGCTGGAGCAGTTGATTGGCTTCTGATGCAAAGTGGTGGTGACACAGCTATTGCAAATTTTCAGTGGTGTCCAAGAAATGAAATAGAAGACCTGTGTTCATCAGTGAATTAATTGCTTTGTTTCTCTCTCTCTCTCCTACCCACCTTGCCTCTCTCAGCAGTCCCCTCTATTCTCCTTCCCCTTCCCCTTCCCTACTCTTTGTATTCTAATCTTTCTGTTTCCTGTAGTCCCTTTACAGCATCTGATGAAGTAAGCCCTCTGTTTATAAAAGTTATGCTCTACATCTCTGGTTTAGTTAGTCTTTAATGGTGCAAATGTACCCTGCTTTTTGTATGAATGTGAGTTTTGTGGGGAGCCCTTTCTGACAGCACTGTAACTTCAACCTGGTTAGGCACTGAAACAGAAAGTGATCCTTTAGTAGGGAAACCTTAAAGTGGTTTTACTTTGCTGCATTGCTATCCCTGAAAATAGTTACTGAAGTGGTTCTGGAAGTTTAATCTTAGCCTGATATCAAGGATCATTCGCACTGGACTAATAGCTTTTGATATTCTATACTTTTCAGCCAACATATATTGTAAAAACTAGGAAGTTGTGGAAAATTAAATTGTTTTGGTTACAACCACAGCATGACCAACTCCAATCAGTCACGTTTTTCTTTGCAACTGTGAAAATTAAAACCTATTTTCCCCCAAGATAAAACTGCAGAAACATTCCTATTTAAATGACTGCTGGCTTAGAGTTTTAAGACAAACACCAAACATCAGAAGAGGCACTTGATGTGCCTGTCACTTTAAGAGGTCAGGCAGCTTGCTGAGCTACCAGCAGGTGAGGATCAGTGCAAAGTCAGATGACCCAGGGGGCTGGCAGATGAGGCTAGGCCTGATTAAGGGAGTCACCTGATTGGAGGAGGGCTGGGTTTGGACAGGGTATAAGCCCAAACCCTGAGAGTAGGGCTGTCAGTAACATCTTGAGAGCTGGTGAATAAGGTTGCCATATGTCCAGGGTTTCCTAGACTTGTCCTTTTCTTAGGCCCTCCGATCTCCATCCAGGAGGTTTTTTGAAGTCTGCACAAATGTCTGAGATTTTGCTCTGCTCTGCTGGTGGAAGTGGGAGGAGGGCGATTGGAGGCAGGAGGCATCGTGTGCGTCTGCGCATGCACATAGTTGGAATGTATCCAGGCAGGGTTGTGGGAGTAGCACTGACAGCTGTATACAGGTAAGTCTGTGGTGGCAGGGGGTAGAGGGCCAGGGCTTGGGAACTGTCTGGGAGGGATGTGGAAGGGATGGGTGTATGAGGGGGGTGGGCTCATATTGGCACTGGGGGATGGTGTCTAGGTGTGAGGGCTATGGCAGGGCACAGGGGGGAGGCACCTGCCCCTCCAGTGAGGGAAGGGGGTGGAGAGAGGGAGGTCCTTTGGGGGCAGTGGGGAATTACATGGCTAGACTAGTGGTACTGGGGGTTGGTGCCTGTGCTTGCAGGGGCAGAGCTCCTGGGAGATGCTGCCTAGTGGCGGGGGCATAGCCAGGCCACCTGGTGCGGTGCAGGAGCCCCAGCCTGGTGCTACAGGCATCCTCTCCTCCTCCCTCCAGCCCATGCCAGGCCCAGACTTGTTCTACCGCCACTCACAGGAGCTGGAGCTGCTGCAGCCACTACATTCTGGACCAGTTGGGACAGGAGCAGCTGGGGGCCTCTCTGGCAGAGCTGGAGGAGTGGGGGGACTGCAGGTTGGGAGTGGCACTGCGGGGGGTGCTGTTGGCTAGGAGTGTGTGGCATTGGTAGCACCAGGAAGCTGGGAGTCAGGAGTCAGGGGCACCAGCATAGCCTGGGAGATGGGGAGAGCCTGGAGTACTCGCCTGGCCTGAGGTGGGGCCAAAGCCTAAGGGAGGTCAAAGGTCCTGTGGCTTGTGGCCACAGCCAAGAGGAAGGGGTCAAGGGAAGTGCAGCCCAGGCTGTTGCTAGGCCATCTGATGAGGAGGGATCAAGGAAAGGGGTCTGAGTGAGTTGGAGGCCAGAGATGGAGGACTCAGAGGGGAGATGGAGCCAGGGCCGGAAGACCCAGTGGTTAGCAGCCCAGGAGGGTTATATATACCTAGGGAAAGCCCAGAGGGAAACAAGTAAGATCAGGTAGGCCTGAAGACCGGTCCTGGGTAAGACCTGAAACTGCACTCTACTGGGGCTGGTTAGTGTGGTGGGGCTGCCTGTGGTGGGCCAGCCTCCATGAAATGCCACACATGGGTCACTCCAGGGAAAGGCGAGGATGGGGTGCCAAAAAGCCTCAACTCCCACTCCCCTGTGGGATACCCCATAGAGAGGGAAGGCTAGGGGAGCACATCCCAACAGAAAAGAACTTGGCCAGGCTAGCAAGGGACTACATGGGTTCAGTGGCCCAGCGAGGGGCCAGGGAATAGAGTGCAGGACCAGATGGGTCCAAGGGCCCAGACAGTGAGGCCCAGCAAGGGCCCCCAGTGAGGGACCTGATACATATAGATAGGCTGAGCAAGTATAATAGGACCAGAAGGGCCCAGCAGCCTAGCAAGGGATAGGAATAGAGTGCAGGGCCAGATGGGCCTAGGGAGCAGCCAAGAAGGGGAGAACTAAAAGTGTCCAGGATGAGGGACCAAAAGGGGCTGGCAGCCTGGAGAGGGGCTGGGAGACAGACTGAGGGGCCTGGGAGTCCGGGGAGTGGTTGTATGAGACCAAAGGTCCTGAGGGCCCAGAGAGGGCTGGAGGAGAGATAGAGGGGCCTGGCAACCTGAGTGAGGCGAAGAGAGCGACCAAGTGATCTGAGGGCCCCGAGTGAGGCTGAGAGAGGCTGAGGATTCAGAAGGCCCAGAGAGGGGCTGCATCTGCAAGTGGCAGAACATCTGTAAGGATGCCATCTGAGAGGGATGGGGCATGGTGTAAAGGAGGTATGGAGCCATGCAACTGGCCCATAAGGACAGGACCACAATCCAGGTGATCACTGTAATAAGACCAGAGCGGCCTCCTGCACCTGTATATTAGCTAACATCAAGGAGTGGCGGGTGAGAGCTAGGAAGACTGACCACAGATCAGGGTATTAAAAAAATGTTTTTTGCATACCCTGTGACAATGGCAATGCCAACAATGGCAACACCAGGCAGTTCTTTAAGTCAAGGGGGAAGGGACACAACTTTAATACTGAACATAAGAGTAATTCCTACCTGATGCTCCTGTTATGTCCATTGCTTTTAAATTTCTTGCCTTTATTATGGTAATAGTTAGTCTACCAGCTGTTGGAAGGTAGCAGAGTGAAAACATCAGGTCACCAAGATCCACGTTGTCCTGTTTAAAGAGAGAGAAGAGAGAGGGGAAGAGAGGGATAAATAATATTAAAATTGTCTCTCTGCCTCCAGTTGTCCATCTACGTAAAAGGCACAGATTAACTAAAGATAAAGAATCGGCTTTTAAGAATTACAGTTATATGTGAAGAAGCTTAATTCTCCTTGGAAAGTACAGAGGAAAAAATACTTGTATGTAGTAGGTTGCCCGAACTGCTGTGTTTGCGGGCAAGACTTTGACATCTGCACTGCTGTGATCTGTAAAGCTAGTTATAATGTTGTAGTCGGCCCTGAGGTAGGAGGCCTATTTTAGTGATCAAGTGCAGGAGTGGGTGTTGCTCTGCTCTGTGTTCTGCACTGCAGGTCTGATCTGGCTTGCGGGCAAGACTTTGCCTCCCCCCTGCTCTAAATCTAAAAGCATCCATAGAACATTCATTCTGTCCCTTTCCACATACCATAAAGCACCCAAACATCCTAGAATAAACTAGGAACTGAAAGGCCACAAACATTGTGATGTACCATAGAAAGAGAGCAGAAAAGACCAAGAGCACAGGCAATGAGCTGGGGTCCTGCAATGGCAGACAGTTACTTAAATAAAATATACCCGTGTAACCTAAGGAAGTAAACTATGTCCCACACTACAGAGGAAGACAGAATACCCTAAACAGTCCATTCTGTTCTGATCAAGGATAAAATGTCTTCCTGACCCTGAATCTGGCAATCCATTTACCCCTAAATACGCATCAGTTAAGTGCCTGAAAGGCTTTTCTGAGAATCACAGGAATCATCAGTCCACCTTTGTCAAATCTCCTCTCTTTGCTCATAGCTAATCTATAAGGCTTCAGAAGAAGATGTGAAAAAAAGAAAAGAAAAAAAGGTTATTCAAAGCTATTCATTCAAAGGAGAAAGCAGGGAGGGAATGTCCCCCTTGACAAGAAGCATCCCTGAAGCATGGGATTATACTGATTAAATACAACATGATTAAATACAACATAATACATTGCACAGTGTTGTAAGCATATTAAAAGCTCAAGAGGAAGGGGGGTGAACAACAGAAGGAAATCTAATCCAGAAAGGGTCATCACAGCTAGTAGCTTGGCCCTCATTACTCTCATACACATCTAAAATTCCCTGTAATCTACATTAAAGCATGTCCTCAATAAGACCCTGCACTTGCCTCAAGAACCCCGAGCTATTGCAAGCCTATCTACTGTCCAACACCATATGCAATAGGGCTGTGCAAAATTTCACTGGGTGTTTCGTTTTGAAACTGTTTTGATGTGTTTCAAGCTTGAAACAGCGAAATCGAAACAACACAAAAAGCTTTGAAACAGCTTCATAATGAAATAAGGGCACTTGAAATGTTTCGAAAGTTTTGAAACATTTTGAGTTTCAAAGTGGGGCCTACTTGGCTTCAGCGCTGGTCCCACGTGGCAGCAGCAGCCTCCTCTCATCTGGTGCAGAGATCCAGGGGCCCGCACCCCCAAGAGGGCTGTGGAGCTGTGCCAGACTCCTTCTGGGAGCCCTCAGATCTTCGCCCCGGATGACAGGAGGTTCAGGCTGCCTCTCCCACCAGGGACTGGTGATGTGTGCAGCCTGCACCCAGGGCTGGGGAAGATTGCTTCTGCCAGCGATCCCCAGCTCCCTGTCCAGCTGCATGCCCCACCAGTGCTGCTGAGGCTGGTTTCCATGGAAACCCTGGCCCCACGCTGTCACAGTGTCGCCACTACTAGGGTTTCCAGGGAAACCAGCCACAGCGACACCGGTGGAGGTTGCTGGGAAATGGCGACCAGTCGCTGGCAGGATCCACCATTTTGCCCACTTCTGATTTAGAGGCTGGATTCTATGACATCTATTAGGTGTGCAGGTGCACTTAGGCACCAGGTGAGAGATTCTGTTCCACACTGTTCAAGTCCCTGAAAAATTCAATACAAAAGGTGTATTCCTTATACAGTCTTCCTTCAATTCACTGCTTTTTTGTGACTCAGTCTTAAGGGTCAGATGATCATGTGGTACTAAAGTAGATGCAGTAGGAATTTTCAGGGACTTGAACAGAGTGGAATACAGTAATACATAGGTGCTTAAGTCTACTTAGATACCTAGGCTAAGTACTGTAGCAAAACTCACAGTTTTTCTTTTCATTTTTATTGCATTTGCTCCCCTTCCCCAACCATTTCTGACCTTTTCTCTCCCCCTCTATCCCCAATAGATAAGTATAAGTAAGTTAAGATGTAGGATAAGCTTTAAACATTTTTATTTTGGTAGCAAGTTTTTGGTTTTGGATATCCATTGTTTTATATTATTATTAGGTTTGTATTGATTTTTACTGTTGTATATTGTATTATTATCATTTTTGTATTGATTTTTATTGTTTCATATGGATAGTGTATGGTTTAGGCTTGTGTTTGTAAGTGAACCAAAGTCATGTCAAGTTTCCATTATATATGTCAAGCCTCCATCTTGTGTCCTCTGTCTGGGCATCCCATGTTGCAACAATATGATTCATTGTACCTCTCCCATGTAAATTGGTTCCCTGATGAATGAGTGTGATTGGGAATGATTGAAATACAATGGTAGCAGGCCTCTACTAAATGGCCTGTAATGACTGGGCCATCACCTCGCATTGATTCATCCAGGAACCACGGACCTCACCCAGGAACAGAGACAAGACCAGCATTTGAAAGACAAAAGACCCTGCAGAGCCAGCAACTCTTATCATTACAGACACCAGAAACTGCACATCCCTGCATGGAGCACACATGCTCAGTATGCCAGGGGCTGACCCTTGCCTGGGCATGCCTCCTGTCAGTCGGGTCACACAAGGTCTGCCCCTATAAAAAGGGGCAGTGAAGACAGACCCAATGGGATGCCCTCTCCATCTGGACCAGCACCATGCCACACTACCTATCCACCCAGAGGCCCTGCCGGCGACTCTCCTCTGGACAACATCTAGCGGACAAGGACTCCTTTCCAGCCTGGATACATACATATTACCTGCACACTTCCTCCTACAATTTGGACTCTCTCTCCCTCTCTGTCTCTCTTTCTCTCCTCCTGGACTTCAGTGGACTTCAGCCCCTGCACCAAGCCTCTCTACCCCTGCTGCCATTGTGTGTGTGGTATGTGTGGGTGCAAGGGAACCAATCTGACATTGTGTCACCATCTCCTCTGTTCAATAAAACCACTGTCATTTGCAACCCCGAGTTGGGTCGTATTTTACTGAATCCCAGTCCCTTCCCTATCTTAAATTCCAGCCGCATTCTCTCTCTCTCTCAGCTCCAGTCCCCACCCTCTCTGCTAGTTTCCCGATCTCCTCCCAATTCCATCTCCCCTTTTCTGCCACCTCTCAGCCTCCCTTGCTCCTACCGCCTTTTCCCTGTGACTTTCTGCTGCCTTTCTCTGCTTTCCTGCTGCCCTGCCACCTGCTGCTTTTCCTGTGATTTTTCTGCTGTCTGTCTCTCTGTTTTCAAGCTTCCCCCCACACCTGTAATCCTCCCTCCCCCCCACCACAGCTTCCCAGCTCCTCTTAGCTGTCCTGTCTAGCGGACAAGGACTCCTTTCCAGCCTGGATACATACATATTACCTGCACACTTCCTCCTACAATTTGGACTCTCTCTCCCTCTCTGTCTCTCTTTCTCTCCTCCTGGACTTCAGTGGACTTCAGCCCCTGCCCCAAGCCTCTCTCCCCCTGCTGCCATTGTGTGTGTGGTATGTGTGGGTGCAAGGGAACCAATCTGACATTGTGTCACCATCTCCTCTGTTCAATAAAACCACTGTCATTTGCAACCCCGAGTTGGGTCGTATTTTACTGAATCCCAGTCCCTTCCCTATCTTAAATCCCAGCCGCATTCTCTCTCTCTCTCAGCTCCAGTCCCCACCCTCTCTGCTAGTTTCCCGATCTCCTCCCAATTCCATCTCCCCTTTTCTGCCACCTCTCAGCCTCCCTTGCTCCTACCGCCTTTTCCCTGTGACTTTCTGCTGCCTTTCTCTGCTTTCCGGCTGCCCTGCCACCTGCTGCTTTTCCTGTGATTTTTCTGCTGTCTGTCTCTCTGTTTTCAAGCTTCCCCCCGCACCTGTAATCCTCCCTCCCCCCCACCACAGCTTCCCAGCTCCTCTTAGCTGTCCTGTAGTTTTCTCCAGCAGCTGGAGCCTTTCTCAAGCTTCCAGCACCTACTGCTGCTCCCTGCAACTTCTCTAGCTGCCCTGGAGCCATCCTCTGGCTCCCCACACCCAGAGCCCCTCTTTAACACCCACACTTTCCCTTAGTCCCATTTTTCCCTCTCCCTACCTACCTTTTCAGCTCCCCCGTAGCTCTGGCTCCAGTGCCAGACTCTGTGCCGGTATGCTTCCCTGTTCTGCAGGCTTTGGGTGTTGTCTTTTAATCAATTAAGATCAATTAACCTAAAGTTACCCCTGAGCCTCTGTTCTTCAGCCTAGGCCCCTGTAGTCTACTGGTTCTAATCTCGGTCCTGGTAACTTTAACTCCCTACACTTCTACTTTCTTACCTTAACCTATCCCCAGGTATCCCAAGTACACCAAGCACATACATACATACACATCACAACACCCAATTTAGGAATTCACCTGTGTGTATGTGTAGGTATGTGTGTGAATTAGTGAATACACACATATATATATATACATATATAGATATCATTGTGTGTGTGTGGTATATGAATTAGTAATCCACGTATGTGTATTGGAAGTGCAAGTGTTGGTAACTGGTAACTGATTCTGTCTAAATTCGTGTGTGTAGCATGTATGGGCTTAAACTGGTGATAGGTGTGCATGAACCTAGACTGGTTATTTTGAATGTGTGTGTATCTGAGTTGCTAGTGTGTATGTGTGTGTGTGTGTGTGTGTGCAGCTGTCTCCTGGCCCTATGCACATGGGGAGGGGACCTGATGTGCACAGGGCCAGGAGACAGCTGTCCCTGGAGTAAGCAGAGCTCTCTTGGTCTTGTGCCCATTGGGACACACAGCTGCCAATGAGCCTCCTGCTG